TTCATTCATACCCCTCCTGGCACATTTAATTGTGTAGTCCGGTCAAATCGGCCATTTTTTAAAAATAGTTTTTTATTTCACCGTCTCTGATTGGTTGGAAGTATTCCAATAGGACGTACATCACACTTGTTTGTGTTGTATCTGTCATATTGGGGAAATCCTCCAAAGGTTATTGATTCATTTAAGTTCACTGGTACAGTCCAAAGGAAAACACCTGTACTGCCCAAAGGCAGGCACAAAAGACTCACAATATGCATTAGACATCCAATATTGAAATAATCTTATCATATTGATCAGTCTATTGATTATTGATAGTAGTTATACATCGTACTTTTGAGTAAAACAGTACAATGCATATATTCTTTAAATATGACCTATTTGAATAAAATTCCACAATTCTATATCAATATATATATAAAAAAATTATATATATATATTTGTGTTTGCAAACAGAAAGTATTACTAAATTATATTTGTGTTTGCAAACAGAAAGTATTAATAAATATTTATAATATAATATTATATATATATATTTGTGTTTGCAAACAGAAAGTATTAATAAATATTTATAATATAATATATATATATTTGTATTTGCAAACAGAAAGTATTAATAAATATTTATAATATAATATATATATATTTGTATTTGCAAACAGAAAGTATTCATAAATATTTATAATATATATATATATATAAAGAGGCACAAAATCACTTTCACTGACTTTTACATTAACTGTTCCCTCCTGGTGGACTGACCTGCCCAACTCAATCCCAGCAGCTGAGTCCATCTTCAAGAAACGGCTAAAAACACATCTCTTCCATCTACACTACATTGGAGAAGTGTACTGTAGATGCCACGGTTGTACACTTCAATGGACATTTAAAGCAAAATCAAATACATATTTTTGCAGTTGTTCATTTCTCTATGTTTGTAATTTAAAAAAAGTATTAAAAAAATAAAAAAATGCATTTCAACATGTTTTATTTTTCTCAATGCTTCAGCTTATGTTATTCAAACTACTGTTAAAAAAGCCAGGTTTTACTGATCACATGATGATCATAAAAGCTTAAAGTTGTAATATGAAAAAAATAAATAAATAATTCATATAATTCCAGTACTTTAATCAATGCGATCCAACTAACTTTTAAAGAAAACGGATGGAACTATCCTTTTTCAATATAAATCATGACAATGCACTCCTCACAAAGCTGAAATTTTCTTCTAAAAATCTGTGTTCAGCACAGTTCATACACAGTGATGACATGATGGTAACTACATCAGTACGAAGTTGTATCAGCTGTGCCCATTCCATTGTGTTCCTTCTTTCTTGCCTGGAATGTCTTGACTGGTTTGTGATTCTTCTGTGGAAATGTGCAAGACACAAATTATTGAAAAATGTGGTCTATTATGACTTCATAGAAGCCCTTTTTAGGGTATGTCTATAAAAGAGGAACAGCAAACTTCTTTCTGGCCACACCTCTTCCTGTGGAGACTGGATACTTCCTCTACCTTGGTATCCGGAAGACCGACGTGACATTTCCCTTCAAGGTTGGTCTCCCCTCTGTCCAATGTGTAAATCTTCGACCATAACTACAAATACACATTTTACAAAAATATATATATATCTTAGTTTTATTTTAAAAGTTGCATTAAATTGTTTACATTAAATTGTATTGATAACTTGTACCCTTCCAGATGAAAGTTCTCCATCGGAATTGCATACCACCGCCAAGTCATAAAAAGAAAAAAAACCTTACCTACACAGTTCACATGAGCCCCACGAAGCATGCGTGTAATGCTGATGCAGGAGCTGGCCGATAATAAGTCAGTGTTCTGATGTAGAATCAAGAAGCACTGCGCCGTCTATACAATGTAAACAGCATAAGAGAACAAAAGGGAATAAAAGAAATTGTTGAATAAAGTCATTGTTTTTATTTAGATTTTGCGCACAAAAAGCATTCTCGTCACTTCATAACATTAAGGTTGAACCACTGATGTCACATGGACTATTTTAACAATGTTTTACTACCTTTCTGGGCCTTGAAAGTGGTTGTTAAATTGCTGTATATGGAGGGATCAGAAAGCTCTCCGATTTCATCAAAAATATCTTAATTTGTGTTCCGAAGAACGAAACTCTTACATGTTTGGAACGACACGAGGGTGAGTAATTAATGACAGAAATTTCATTATTGGTTGAACTAACCCTTTAAGGTTAAATAGACTGAAAGCTTAAAGTAAATATCTCACTTCTATGCAAATTTGCAAAACTGCTGATAATAGTTCTATCTAGCCCAATTTACTGTGAGAATCACAGTGTGTAGGTGAGAGCCAAGTTGGTGGAATATGCAATGTAGAAAGAAATATATTTCCCCTGCTAAATAATAATTCAAAAGTTTCAACTTTCATATACAGACTCAAATGCACTGTTACATGTTGGAAGTAGTGAAAATCATACCTGATTTTGTGCCATCCAAACAGGTATGTCCCACCTTTTTAAAAGTTGTTTAAGTAAAAAAATAAAATAAATAAACATTCTTGTTACATTCTCATAACATTAAACAATTACATAAGAATGGTACTCACAAATAAATGCATGTTCCTTTGCAGACCAAAACAAAAAATTCTCCTGGATAAGGCAAACTGATCCCTCTTTAACTATCAGCTCCCTGGCTGGTTTACTCACATCCAGGACGTAGTTGATATAAAAAAACAAATGTTATGTGAAGTCATTGATCACACACACACACACACACACACACACACACACTTTGGTTTTGAAGGAGATGTCCCTGTAGTGTCCATGAAACCCTGCAGGGTGATGTCCACTCGTGTACATGTTACCCTCTTCCAGATTTGCTGCAAATGCACTCACTGCACAGTGGAAAATTGACTAATCAGTAAGAAACTGAAATCTTATGAACTATAAAGATATATTTGCATTTCTTAGCACTCAGTCAACCGGATGTTTTCATTAGTTGTACCTGAAAAAAATCAATCCAAGATAATAGGTAAAATAAAAGTAAAAAAAACAAAAAACAGACATGTTTAAAATCCAATGGTATAAATACATTTTACCGATGACAACTTGTCCATGCTTGTTCAATGCAATGTGCTCAACGTCCAGACACGTCTTAATGTTTTCCATCCTTGCCGTGTTAATGGAGTTTCTGTGGTGGATTATGGTTCTGGATTACGGTTCTGATTATGAAAATCTGGGAACTTGGTTTCAACATGTTTAAGTAGTAGTTTTTTTTTTCCATTTGCAAGAAAAACTCCTAAAACACCTTACTGTTGATACCGCCAGCAAGTTCAGGAAAAAGCTCAATATTTAACATCTTTCTTAGCCTTGGTATTTCCCTCATGCAATTGATCATAGAGCATATAATGATCAAAAGATTCTGTTAAGGGGTGCCTACTTACATAAGGAGTTTCTTTTGACTTTATTAACCACAGAAGACAAACTGTGACCCTACCTTCTTTAGCACGTCTGATGTTTTCAGCAGTAGGGTTTAGCAATCTTCCGTCATGATGAGAAAAGTGCAGTGCTTTGGGAAATAGCATATTTCCATGAGTAGCAAGTCCTTGATCAAAATCTAGGTTTACAAAATTAGTATGTTTGAAATGTGCTGACATGACATCAACAATTCCATATAGTTCCTTGTACTTTCTGCTCTCAAGTAGAACTTTAAACTGTATACAATTCCACATGGACAGATTGTCGCTCAGAATACCAGAATACAAGACTTAAGCAACGTGCAATAAAACTAATCAGTCCACAAATGATAAGTACAATTAATATACATAAAGGGGTCATAGAATGCCCATTTTCTACACGTTGATATGATTATTTAGGGTCTTAATGAAAAGTCTGTAACAGTTTGGTTAAAATTTCTCTATGGTAGTGTAAAAAAACCCACCTTTTTTACCCTGTCAAAAACAGCTCTTTTCAGAGCACGCAGTTTTGTAGCATTTTCCTTTAAATGTTAATGAGCTCTGCTGACCCCGCCCCTCTCTTCCAAGCTGCTCTCTGAGGGACTGTCTACTTTAGCCGCATTCATCGTGAAACTTGCCAGTTAGCACATTATTAGGAAATACGTTTTGCAAATATTCATAAAAAAAAAAAAAAAAAATAAAAAAAAACTCAACTCACTTCTTCTGGAGGTGAAGCTAGATTACGAATGATTCGCACGAACAGACGCATTTATGTAGATCGGGGGGTGCATTCCCTTCAGAAACAATGTAATCCACTGCGTCTTCAGCGGCTCAGATGTTGGGAGTAAACGACGACTGCTATGTTCATTATTACATCCAACAACAGAACACCTCAATCGCTTAGGAGTCATTCTTGTCTACATCTGCTCTGGCGGTGAAACAATGGCAGATTGATGATGACAGCTCACTCAGGGCAGATCTAGGATAAGACGCCAGTCCAGTCTGTGATGAAACGCTACTGTCAATCAAACTATCGTGGGAGGGGCCTGTTTTTGTGACGTCACACAGACCGACATCTGAAATCGGCTCGATTTGAAAAAAGGGTTAAAGATTTGAGCAGATTAAAAAAAAAAACACTGGGTGGATTTTTATCATTTTAGGGTGGTTGTGTACACACACTGCCAACACACATCTCAGTTCAAACGACTTGTAAAAGTGCATGTAGCATCATATGACCCCTTTAATAATAGTAGTACTTACCTCAGTACCTTAAGTTTGATGCAAGCGGCTATTGGCAGCCAGTGCAAGCTGATGAAGAGAGGTGTGACATGAGCTTTCTTTGGTTCATCGAAGACCACTCTCGCTGCTGCATTCTGGATCAGTTGCAGAAGCTTGATAGTACATGCAGGAAGACCCGCCAAGAGAGCATTACAATAGTCCAGTCTGGAGAGAAACAGAGAGTTGGACAAGGAGTTGTGATGACTACTCTGTTAGGAAGGGTCTAATCTTCCTAATGTTGTATAAGGCAAACCTGCAAGACCGGGCCGTTGTAGCAATATGGTCTGTGAAGCTTAACTGATCATCGATCACAACTCCAACATTCCTGGCTGTCCTGGAAGGAGCTATGGTTGACGAACCTATCTGAATAGAGAGGTTGTGATGAAGTGCTGGGTTGGCTGAGACCACAAGCAGTTCTGTCTTAGCAAGGTTGAGTTGAAGGTGATAAACCTTCATCCAACCAGAAATGTCTGTCAGACAGGCTGCAATGCGAGCAGCTACTGTCGGATCATCTGGTTGGAATGAGAAGTAGAGTTGAGTGTCATCAGCATAGCAGTGATAAGAAAAGCCATGCTTCTGAATGACAGATCCTAAAGATGACATGTAGATGGAGAAGAGAAGTGGTCCAAGCACTGAACCTTGAGGAACCCCAGTAGCAAGAATTTGTGACTTAGAAACCTCATCCTTCCAAGACACCCTGAAGGACCTACCTGAGAGGTAGGACTTGAACCACAGGAGTGCAGTTCCTGAGACGCCCATCTTCCTGAGGGTGGACATGAGGATCTGGTGGTTAATGGTGTCAAAAGTACCAGACAGATCCAGCAAGATGAGTACTGAAGATTTGCAAGCAGCTCTTGCCAGTCTCAGGGCTTCAGTAACCAAGAGCAGTGCCGTCTCAGTTGAGTGGCTGCTTTTGAAGCCAGACTGGTTGCTGTCCAGGAGGTTGTTCTGTGCAAGAAACATAGTGAGTTGGTTGAACAACTCGCTCAAGTGTCTTTGCAATAAACGGAATAAGGAATACCGGTCTGTAGTTTTCTAAAAGTGCTGGATTTAGAAAGGGTTTCTTAAGCTGTGGGATTACCCGAGCCTGCTTAAATGCTTCGGGAAATGTACCAGCGTGAAGAGAGGTGTTGATAATGTGAGTAAGCGCAGGTATGACTGAAGAAGAAGTGGCCTGAAGGAGGTGAGTGGGGATAGGATCAAGCGGGCAGGTAGTAGGATGATTGGAAAGGATAAGTTTAGAAACGTCTGTCTCCGAGAGTGGAGAGAAGGAGGGGAGAATGAATATTTGTAGTTATGAAGTGTTTGTCAGTTTTTGGTGTGGAGAATTGGTCGCTGATGGTTCTTGTTTTCTCTATGAAGAATATTGCAAAGTCATCAGCCGTATGATAGGGCTGCACGATAAATCGCATGCGATATTTAACACGCATCTTGTCAGTAAAGCCGGTTCTGTAATCAGCGGTAAATCTCCATCACGTGCGGGCTTTCACATGGAGAAGGATTTACTACACAGAGCCGTTGTTCACTGACAATATCGCATGCGATTTATCGTGCAGCCCTACCATATGAGTTGATGAAGGAGGGGGTGGAGGAGGACAAAGAAGAGTAGAAAATGTTTTGAAAAGCGTGCGAGTCAGAACAGTCGTTAATTTTGTTGTGGTAGTATGTAGTTTTATCAGTGGAGACACTTGCAGAGAAGGAGAGGAGTGACTGATAAACACTAAGGTCAGTAGAGTTTTTAGATTTGCGCCACTTCCTCTCTGCAGTCCCGAGTCTAGAACGATGTTCCCGGAGAACATCCGACAGCCAGGGGGCAGAGGAGGTGGTAGTAATTGTAAAAAAAGTAAGTGTAGTGCACATAGTAGTGTGTAATAGTAGTGTCATCATCCTTTAGGACTTTAGGTACCTGTGCACTAGGGATGGGTGATATCTTATCGTTTGCGATATACCGGTAAAAATTCTCCCCACGATAAGAATTAGTCTTCCCGCGATAATAACGATAAAGTCTAGTTGTTGACATATTTCTGTGTGCGACAGTGCGGAGCGACATCACGGAAGGCGGACGTGAAATTGAGGAGTAGCAGCCTATATCGCTAAATGAGGAGCTTGAGCTCCTTTTACAATCTGTAATTGGTTTGGTTAGGGCTGTACAGTGCACAAAAAATCGGTCTGAATAAATGTACTACAGTAGCACATGTGCGATACAGTTTTGCATGTGTATGAGCCTGTTTACAAACCTGTTGTCCAACAAACATATAATTTATTGACATGCGTTTTCTCCAAATTAACTTAACAGTCTAGTGTTTGAAATACTTCTTTTTGTGACCAGACGTGGTTTCATATTAAAGAATGATAGTATTATATACAGTGATAAAGGCCATGTCGATTAACATTGCATTATAAATATACTTTCCTTATAAAAATACCCAAGATTGAAGAACACCGATAAACCATATATTTTGTGCAATCGTATGTTTATTTTCCTCAAGTTTCATCAGTTAAAATGTCTCTATCTCCGTTGTGCGTTTTATTCACCGATAACGGGACACCTTACTGGAACATCGTCAGTAGTATTACTTCTGCTATGGATATGTGGCATTTCTGTGCAAGAGCGCCCTCCGGCTTCCAGTATGAATTAAACAGTCTTTACATTAGGTGTGTACTCATTAATGTTCACCCTATTTTGGGTAAAAATAGGAAAGATAATACTTTTCTCTAAAGAAACAGGATTCCCGGAATTATCGTCATTGATATTGTTATCGTAATAAATAGCAGAAATATTGTGATATATTTTTAAGCCCATATCGCCCATCCCTACTGTGCACATTAAAAACATGAGCTGCAGGAAAGCAGTGTCTGCGCACATTAACTTTAGCTAAGATAGCGTGGGCATGTCAGCCAATGGAATAAGACATTGGTAATAAATACACACGTCTTTCCTTACCTAGGCCAAAGGTGGAGGACACGCAGTACATATTTTTATGTTTGTGTAGACATTAAGGACTGGGCCAATGACAGGGCTTGCAGGTAAATGTCCACACCAAAGACGTCACTGCTCATAAAGGGGTCAATGTAGGCCCTTAAATGCTCCTCGACTGTTTGATGAAAATCCTGAGGAGTTACTGGAACCTCAACAGCCTCGGAGTCTGGTTCTGCAACAGGTCCATCCCAATCAATGCCCCAGTTTGAGACATCAATCTGTTGAAACATGATTCAGATATTGTACAAAGTAATGCGTTAAGTAGTCTAGTCTGCAAACAACTGCACTTAAAAAAGGACAGCTAGTCAAAGTGTAACCTGGTCAGGATTTTCTTGTTGCCCCGAAAGCACACCAGCAATCCACAACTGCTGTGGAGACCTGTTTCCCTCTGTGCAAAGAGGATGCCTGTCCCACATCTGAATGAACTCCTTCAGGTGCCAGTTCAGTCTTGACAGGAAGACATAATGTAGGCAGATGATGTGGAGGTCTTGATCCGGATCAAGCTGATCAATACTTTCAAGGTGCCTAAAAGTAGACATGTGCCAATATACTGTAATGCCATATAACAGGATAATTAATATGCACAATATTATTATCGTGGACACTTCAAAACACCATGAATAATTGTTTATAACAAATTATTCAGACTTTTACAATGCATGTTAAAAATACTTTCCCCATGAACTGTGTTGTGTGAAAAACCACAACACCACTGTATGCTGCGTCAAAGAAGCATGTGCAGTGATGTAAACAATCCCTTCATGATAAGGGCAAGGCAGAACAAGACATGCTGAATATAATGGAGCCGTAACCCAATAAACAAAGTGATTGCTGTGCCCTTTAAATGTTTAAAACAGACATTTCAGTTTTGGCTGTTTATTGCACCACCATATATACTACTTCACTTAATAGGGTATTTATTTTTGTTAAAACTTTAATCTGGACTAATAAATTATCAGAAATTATTATTTTTATTGTTAGGTAAAGCTTTACAATATGGTTCCATTACTTAACAGTAGTGAATTCATTACTTAACCAAAACAAACAGTAAAAAATAAACTAATTTATTTATTAACTTTGTTAATTTCTTAGTTAATCTTTATGATTTATTAAAGTGCCACTATTATGGATTTTTGAAAATGACCTTTCATGCAGTGTGTAACACAGCTCTAAGTGAATGAAAACATCCTGAAAAAAGTTTTAAATCTGAAAGTGCGCCGTGTATAAAGTTATTGTCTCTCAAAAGAAAGACTCGACTCTGAATCATTGAAACAAGTAGTTTTTAAAACGAATCCCAAGCCGTTTCATGTTAACGTCAACATGAAACATTAGCATATTGTCTGCCCACTTGTTGCGCGAGCAGACCTGGGAAAACTTGATTGTCTGAACAAAAATGCAAATTCATTTTTTGTCACTAGGTGCCGCTTTTGGAGCGTTAAAAATGTCTATTTCCAATCGGACCAATCACCGCAGATTAGCATCACGCATAGGAGGGTTTTGGAAAAATGAATCGTTGAGCTAATCATTTGGGAGCCGCCCACTTGTTGCTCGCGCAGAACCGGGAAAACTTTGTTTGAATGAAAATGCAAATTCATTCTTTGCCACTTGGTGCAGCTTTTGGAGCGGTAAAAATGGTTGTTTCCCCGGTAACGGCTGTGCACAAAGCAGCACTGCGCTCACAAACGCTGCTTTATCAGGCATTACAGGCATGATGAAATGAAACTGAAATCGACCAATCGCCAATCGGACCAATCATCGCAGATTAGCTTCACGCAAAGGAGGGGTTTGGAAAAATGAATCGTTGAGCGAATCGTTTGGGAGTCGTTGAGCAAATAAGGTAAAAAATAAATGCATATTATAAGAAAGTAAAAGTGTTTTTTGACCTTGCATGCATGTCAGCCTGTTGTTGAGGACTCTCCAAAGCAAAATATGAACCTTTCATAACCCGTAATAGGGGCACTTTAAAATCAAAAGTAGTAACTGTATTATTTAATGGACCTGAGCTGACATGAATTAACAATGACCAGTTATATATATTTTTTAACCAAGGATAACAAAGAATACCTTCTGTACCAATTGTAGCTATTGCTTGTTGTTGATATTGAACTGACATTACATAATGAGACCTTATAGTAAAGTGCTGCTATTTATATTTCACTTGCAATTTAAAATGTTTGAAAGATTTGTGGACTTTACAAATGTTTGGTTTATCCTGTTATCAAATTAAAATGATCAAAATCCTTTTTGTTACAAAAAAATTGTATTAACCTGTAACACTATCAACACTTTTTGCAATAGCAACTTATTTCAGTATTGCTATAATGTATACCGTGACAAATTAGTGCAACCAAATTTTAATACCGTCACATGCCTACCTGAACGTGGCGTAGTAGTTGCTAACAACACTGCACCACACATCACGCCACAGCCTCTCAATTCTCTGGTTGTGGACGCTCTTCCCAGTGATGTGGCTTCTTCTCTCTGATTTATATCAGTTGCATATAAGGAAAGAAAGACAGACAGACAGCTAAATACTTAGTCGGGTGGGGCTTTGAACAATGACGAATCTGAATAAAAACATATTTCCTGCATATATTCAAATATGGTAGTATTACAAAAATACATCAAAAGAGCTACAGTTGTGATATAAACTGGACAACCTTTTTTGGGTTATTGGGGGTTAGGATTGCAAAGGGCCAGAAAATTTCCAGTAAATTTCAATGGGAACTTTGTCTCAGAAATGTTGGAAATATCCCAAGTTGGAAACTTTACAGGAATTTATTTGATCATCACTCCTGTTTTTAGTGTTACATGATCCTTGATTGATTTTTGTAGTGTTACAAAAATAAATGCAGGCTTGATTAGCATAGGAGACTTCTTTCAAAAATTATAAATAGTAATGTGTCCAAACTTTTTACTAGTACTGTACTTCTGTAAGACAGCAGAAAACTGCCTATCAAAGCTAGAAGAAAAGCATCACAGCTTGAGCTAGCTAGCACATGATATCTAGCCTCATAATTTGTCAGTGAATTAGTGCTAACTAGTTTACATTTAGCTGTAGCGTCTGGACCAATCAAAAACACAATTTTTCATTTGATTTAACAAATCAATTATTCATTAGATTAACAAACGTTCACAGACCCCTCACCCAATAAACATACTGGGTGCCAAGTTGTCTGTGAACAGGGCCCAGGACCCTGGTTACCATGGCAACCCTGACACCAGATACATTTACGACCTAATGGAATGCGAAGCAGGGAAAATCACCGCATGTTCCATCGCAAGAGGCACAAGGCACAGTAGAAATTGACTTTTCTACTAATTAATTCATAGGAAAACCTTTCTTTGAATGAACAGTGTATCCTTCAGGTCATGGTGTATGTTGTCTTTGATATTTTTTGACTATTTTATGCATGCTTATGATGGAACCCATTCCTGTCATCCTGCCTATATGTAATCCTACCATGTTTAGTATCTATGAATTACAAAGAGTCATAAAACTCCCCAGTATCTCAAAACTCCCACTTGGGATACCGGCCTTTCTCATTGGACAAGCCCATCTTGAGAGGCGGGGGATCTTCTCCGACCTTAAAGGCATCAGACCATGTGACCCGCCCAGAGTCGGTGGTTCTGTTTGGTTTTGAGAAGATGTGAGCTCCAACACTCCAGGACATCCTAAATTTGTGCCAGGCCTTCGGCCTTGACTTTTCCATTCACCCGGAGTCGGTGGTTTGTTTGAATTCTGAGAAGA